AGTGTCTCACTGCTTCCTGAATGTTTTGGGGCTTACAGAGCCAAGCTCCTGGAACAATCAGGCTGCCGCCACCTTCCTCATTTCCGGGAGGTCTCCACAGAGCCGTCACATTCAGTTTGCTTGCTTATATTTTGCAGCTGGATTTATAACCATCTTAAACTACCTTTTGTGTTTTCCTTTGCTGCCTCCTGAAATGGGCCACCACACTGTTATTGTCGTGTCTGTCCTTTGGGACCTGACAAGTATATGATGTCCACAAGGCTTCTCTTTGAACAACCATTAGGGTCAGAGGTTCCCCTGCAGGGTAACAACAGAGTATTTGTGGGCATACGCAGTGTTCATGCATGGGCTGATGTCCACTTCACAGCCAGTCAGAGGAGACTCTGTAACCAGCGCTCTGGCTACAATGCTGTCAGGATCCACAGGCCAGGTGTACAAGCTGTACTGTTGTCTGCGGGAAGCTCTCGCACCTGCTGAGAAAGAGAGCCGTCACTGTGCTAAAGGGAAAGCATGTGCTCATCTGACAAACCATCTCTCTAAAATGAGTTTATGGAGGTAAATGTTTGCAAAGTTGTAAACCAGGAAGCACCCACTTTTAAACAGTGTGTTTATTGCATTTAAAGATATTAGCTGGGCAGTAGTGGTGCATACCTTTAATCCCAGCACTCAGGAGGCAGAGACAAGTGGATCTCTGTGAGTTCAAGGCCAGCCTGATCTATATGAGTTCCAGGACAGCCAGAGCTGTTACACAGAGAAATTCTGTCTCAAAAAACAAAAAGAGATAGATAGATAGATATTCTGTTCAATGCATTTTCAGGTGAATATCCAAAGAATATTATTATTAAACTTCAAAGATTGTTAACGAGGATCTGGGACTATGGCTTAGTGATAAGGGCGTTTGCTATGCAGACATGAGGACCTAAGTTCACATTGAAAGCTGAGGACAACTGGTTGTGTTTGTAGCCCCACTATTGCAGAGGCAGGTGGATCTCAGAAACTCACTGGCCACCTCGTTCTGCCAAGACAGCAAGCTTTTAGTACTGTAAGAGACCCCTGTGTTAAAGGAATAAGGCAAAGAGCAGTAGACACCTCACACCCTCCACTGGCCTCTGTTTATGCATGTGTGGGTGTGTTTACTAACACACCCATAGATATGCAGCATACACGCACGTGCACGTGCATGCACACACACACACACACCTTTTTAAATTGTTAAACATGCTGTGGAGTGTTAAAGATTATCTGGAAATGTGGGAAAGATAAGTGTACGCGTCACCTTTTTCTATTGAGTTGAATAATTGACTTAAATTGGCTGTCTTGACGAGAACCACATTAAGTATTATACTTGAAACTTAAGATTAATAGGGCATGGTGTTTAAATATGTTTAATTCATATTGCAACTTTGCAGATGCCTTTTGTGTGCATGGAAAAGTCAAGAAGGAAATAGTTGTAAAGCTAGAATAGTAAAGATTCCGCCTCAAGAATGGAAATTTATGGATTTTTTTGGGGGGGTCTAAATAATCAGAATCTGTAGGAGGGGGCTTAGTAGAAACTGATCAGAGTGCTGTCCTTGCTCCCAGGGTTTCTCTGTCATTCCTCTTCTCTTTGCAGTGGATGGCTTGTTGTGTGCGTGCTGTACTGCTAACCAACATCTCACCTCCACCCTGGTGCTTTCCCAGGGTAGGCAGACTCTCTTGTCTCTGAACTCATGTGCTCACGTACACATGAGCCTAGCAGATGCTCATGCCTCCATCAGCACTGACCACCATGGAGGCGCTGTGATGACTGCATCCCAACCCAATCTGTGCTTCTCTGGAGATGTTTTTAAAAGGAAAACTGTAAGCTAGAGTTAACGAAATACAATACAAAGACATTGCAGGGGATACTGGTGTGGGGCCGGACTGGGCTGAGGAGACAGAGGGCAGGCAAAGAGGAGCCCAGACCATCCTGAAGGAGAGGAATCCATCTCTGTTCTTTTTTTTTTTTGGGGGGGGGACAGAGGACTGTGGTCCCCAAGAAGTGATGTCTGGGGTCATGTCCATCAGGGACACAACAGCCCATTTGGACACCACTGCAGCTCTCTGAACCTTGACCTGTTCCAGCAGGTTCTTCCAGGGATAAAGCTGTCCATACCATTGAGGTTGCTATCGTTCATAAAGAATTATTACCCTCATGCACACATGTGTATGTGCCTGCTGTAGCACAGGTGGAGGTCAGAGGACAACGAGAGTTGGTTCTCTCTTTCTAATAATGTAAGACCCGCGGAGGGCGTGGACCCTCACGCCCCGACTCAGGAAAGGCGCCCCCCCAAATCACTCACGAGAACTGGTCTTGATGCAAAAGCATGAGGTCTTTTATATTCCAGTGCACTGGGGTCCACAGCCATATTCCACGTGGGGTACAGGACTGGGAACCCTGGGTACAGGGTTCAGACAGCCTTTATAGTGTTACAACAAAGCCCGCACATTACAAACCAATCATGTCATTGCATCCAGTGTGGACCAATCAATTTGAACTATCCAAGCTCAGCCCGTGCTTTGCCCAGGAAGTCCGCATTCGCTGGGGCTCCTGGGTAGTGTGGCAGGGCTCATTTCCTGTTTTCATTCATTCACAGGTGCTGTCAGTAACCCATCCTGTCGTAAAACAGTCAAGAATGACCTTTTGCCTACTCACTGCTAGGGGGCAGAGTCTAGGGAAAATTGGGCTAAATTTTTCCATCCTTACATTAACATGCAGGTTCTGAGGAGTCAAGCTCAAGTCCTCAAGCATAGCACCAACTACCTTTTCCTACTGAGTCCTCCCGCTGGCCTGAACTACCCTTTCCAATAGATTGGTTAATTTTAAAATTCAGGAGTTAAATCTGTATGTACAGTGTGTCTTTCGGGTCTATGCAGATGGTGGTGGACTGGAGCTCAGCAGCAAAGCTTTTGGCTGGAAGTTGTTTTGCATGGTAAGGATACTTGAAGGTGGCTCTTGTAGCAACTTCCAAGTATATAACACAACGTGTTATCAACTACGTCTCACGGCAAGTCTCTTGATCAAACAAGCTCAGATCTCATCTAACTCACTTGTATTCTTAACAAAGCTGGTCCACTCTCCCTTCCACACTCGTTAAACCTGCCCAGTCCCTGGTGACCACTATTCAGCTCTATGTCTTTTGAGTTTTAACTTCTTTAGATTTCCACATGTGAGTAAGGATTTGTGGTATTTGCCTTCCTATGCTTGGCTTATTTCATTTGGCAGGATGCCCTCCCGCTTTCCCAAAGGACAGGATTGTCTTCCTTTTTAAGGCTGGATAGCATTTTATTTTATGCACGTGTCACACTTCATTCACACTGTAAGTAAACTTCAATGAACACAGGAGTGCAGGCTCTCGGTTCTCATTAACACACTGATGCTATCACCTTTGGAAACACCCAGGAAGATGCAGGAATGGGATTCGGGTCTTATCTTGGCCACCCCTTTGTCCGTTTTTTAAATCAGTTTTAAAACTTGTTGATGAACTGCTGGGGCTGGGGTTCCGTATGTACTTTGGATGACTGGCCCAGAACTACTTCCTGTTCCTTTGGTTGTCTCTTTCTTTGCCGTGTGTGTGTGTGTGTGTGTGTGTGTGTGTGTGTGTGTGTGTGTGTATTTTCTCTGGGTGCCCCTTTCCAGACTCACCCCGCCCCCCCCAGGATCGCCTTCTTCTGCCTCCCGAGTCCTGGGATTAAAGGCGTGCGCCACCACTGCCTGGCTGGCTTCTTTGCTCTGTCTGATGTAATCCCAGCTGTCTACTTTCTCCTGTGTTTCCTGTGCTTCTGTGCTTTTGAGGTCATTTCAGAAAAATCATTGCCTGGCCAGCATGCAAAGAATAATATTTTTTTTTAAATTTTTATATAAAACAAAAATTTTTTTGTGTGTGTGTTGGTATTTTGCCTTTATAAATGTCTCTGCACTGTGTGGGCACAGTAGCCTGAGGAGCCAGAAAAGGGCATTGGAACTGTAGTTACAAATGGCTGTGATCTGCTCTGAGGGTCCTGGGAATTGAACCCTGGTTCTCTGCAAGAGCAGCCAGTGAGTGCCCTTTAACTACTGAGCCAGCTTTGAATCCCAAGGAAACATTCTTCCAACCGTAAGTTTTCTGAGTCTTGTTTTATTCCCTAACACAAGGTCTTCATGAGAGAATATTCTAGTTGCTTCTCAGTGTTTTGGCAAAGGTCAAGTATGGCAAATGTTCTCTGTATGCTGGAGAGTGTTATGATAAAGCTCATGGGGGACCTTGTCAGATTCCATGGTAGTTGAGGGCGACCGAGGTGGAGGGACAAACATACTAAGCCGACAAAGCTTAGTGAGAAGTTTTATTAGAAAGGGGAGGGAGGGGGAAGGAAAGAGAAAAGAGGTAAAGAGACACAGAGAGAGAGAGGACAGAAGAGAAGAGGGAGACAGGAAAAGTCCTGTTTTCCCCAGGGGAACAGCGGGAGGACTGGGAAAGAGAGCTTACGTGGGCAGAGGTCTTTCTTTTCAAGGGGTCCTTTGCACCTGCATGCGGACTATGCAACCATGGAACCCTGGGCTGACCTGGGAACTGCCTGAGTGAGTGCATCCTCTCTTACAGAGAGAAGTGTGTCTTCTGTTACTGTGAGCTGGACATGCATTGTACATCTTTTAGGGTCTCATGGCCTGAAGTGTAGTTCAAGCCTGCTGTGACCTGAAGGTCCACCCGTGTTCATGATGTTGTGAGTTAGTAACGAGGATGAGGACAACAATCGTAACACCATTGAAGTGGCTATCCACGCTCATTCCCTCAGGCTGTTACCGAAAGACAAAAAAACCAGGTTATATCAGCCATGCATCTTGAGAAGCATCCTCGGATCCAAACACAGCTGCCAACTTTGCTTCTAGAGTTTCCCCACCACACTGGGGGGAGTTGGTCCTGAAGCAGAGCTGTTGGCACTGGTGGCTACACAGCAGTCATCCCTGAGGAGAGGATGTGATTGTCCTGTTCTTGTCTTTGCAGCCCCAGCTCCAAAAAGGCAAAAATGTGACCATTGGGCTCCGTGTCCTCCTGACACCTATGCCTACCGGCTGCTCAGTGGTGGTGGCAGAGACAAGTATGCCAAGATCTGCTTTGAGGATGAGCTGTAAGTGCTGTGTGTGAGATGTGTGTCTGCTTGGCTGTGACCCTCCTCTCTTCCTCCCTTCGAGGCTTATATGTCCCTAACCTCTGTCTGACAAGGCTGAAAATCAGGAGGTGGAATAAATACACTCACTGTGTGCCTGGGGAAGGATGGCAAGTGTCTCTGGGGGCTGTTTGTGTTCTTGGCTGGATTTTTATGATCTCTTTCCATATAATTCACCAGTGAAGCCAGCCAGGCTTGGACTTTTCTTTGTGAAGGTACTTTAACTACAAATACAGTTACTTAGTAGAAGCTTAGGGCTCTACAAGTCAACTCTTCTGGAGAGGGTCCTAGAAGTTTGGGGAACACTTCTGCTCAGTAGTTGGCTGATTCTCATCTTCACAGGTGAAGCCTGTACATCTCTAGAGAGATAGTTCCTTTAGTGGGGTGCAAGGTGGAACCTAAGATCCAGGTCTTGATGTGCTCAGTGCTTTTCCGATATTTTTCCTTATCTCTGGCCTCAGCATTTGTCCACTGGTGTGTCCTGCTTTGCCTTATTTAGATATTCTGGGGCTCCTTGAATAAGTGTACCTCAAAATCCTTTAGCTATGATGAAATACTTGCACAAAAGCAACTTACATGGGAAAGGGTTTATGTTGACCCACGGTTTGAGGGCACAGAGCATTGTGGTAGGAAGTCATAGGGGCAGGTCCTGGAGCAGCAAGCAAGTCGCGTTCTGTCAGCTCACTTCCTGCTTTTTATTGAATCTTATTACTCTGTTCCCGATACCCCACAGTCCCCTTCCCATTTGTCACATTTCTCCCTCTGAGCTTTGTTGTGGACAGAACTGTTTTTCATGTCACTGCCAGTGTCCTCTACTGTCCATAAACCCAGCCATTGACGGGCTGGGTTTAGATGATGTCATTTTAGTTTCTAAGCTCTTTCTTCCCCCCAAGGGAGCCTGCCTTTTTTTTTTTTTTTTTAACTTCCAATTGAATATTTCTGTCTTTCCTACTATTTTTGAATGTGTTAAGTGCTGTTATCTTGAAGTTCAGTTTGCCGGCTGGCTGGAGCCTGTGAGTGTGCCACTGTTACCTGCTGTGTTCTGCTGGCTGCTTTGACTTTTGCTTCTGTTGACTTCTTTCTTGTGTCAAGTTTCTTCTGTCAGTGTGCCAGGCAGTGAATCTGAGAACTTCTTTAAAAACGGCAGCAAGATAACCCAGTCTTCTATCACATAATGAATACCAGAATGTGGGTGGCTTATGTAGAAAAGAATTCTGTCTCATAACTCAAGAGGGCCAAGAGCATTGTCCTGCCCCTTAGCAAGTGGCTTCACAATATTTAGAATAGACAACGAGATTGCATGGCCAGAAACAAGCCAAAGGCACCCAGAAGCCTGGTTTGCCCTTTTACAATTAATTGCTCTTTGGAGAATTAACATACTTTAAGAGCATTTGTCCCTCTGAGGATAGTTGGCCCTCCTCCAGGGTTTCTTCAGTCTCTTACAGCATCTCAGCATCACCACGCTGGGACCGAGCTCCCAACACAGGAACGGGCGGGGGTATTCCCCAGTCCCAGCTGAAGCACAGCAAGGTGTGTGTGTGTGGGGGGGGTCTCTGTCTTCTTTTTTCATCTGCTGTTCTCAGGACCTGGAGCTGTTGGCATATCAGAGTGACACAAACATGTTTTAAATGTCATCGTTTTCTGGGTTACCCAGTTCAACAAAATCTGGGCTAGAGGCTACAAATTCTGTTTGTTTGTTTGTTTGTTTTTTGTCTTATTTATCCAATTTATTGTGACTCTAACTTAATATGATCTGAGAGATTTCATGTGGCCCTCAATTTTCCTAAGGCCTCCATGATTATCGGAAGTGCTGCCATCTTCTCCAGGCCTACTTCTGCTGAGCTGTGAATGTTGCTGCAAGGGCCAAGGTCTCCTTCAGTGTTCAACCCTTCAACGTCTGTCATCAGTCAGCTGCTGGCTTGGGAAGTTCTTGGCTACATTTCAGGGCTCTCCTATCCCAACAGATCTTTTTGTTTTTATGTTTGTTTATGTATTTATTTATGTATTCTTTTCAAGACAGGGTTTCTCTGTGTAACAGACCTGGCTGTCCTGGAACTCACTATGTAGACTAGGCTGCCCTGGAACACACAGAGATCCACCTGCCTCTGCTGGAATTAAAGGCATGCAGCACTACCACCTCCCAGCAGATCTTTTTTAAAATGTGTTTCTCCTCATCTCCTGTTTCCTGTGGAGGTTATGGTAACTATTGGGAATGGAAGTCCTTCCTTGCCTCTTTTTTGGGCACTCACAAACTATTTTGTAACACTGAGAAATCACTAGGCCGTGTGGCCCCTTGGAGGCCTTCAGTTAAACATGTCAGAGGCAGAATATTAAAGTGCCTATTGCCCACCTTATAGCTTTGACGTGGAAGACAAGCTCCAGATTCTCTTTATGATGCCAACCTCAGCAAAGGCCCAGAATATGCACATAGTTGTAAACATACAACACATGTGCACACCTGGACATGTGCAAACAGAGACACAATGCATGCATGTATACATGCAGAAATATGCATGCACATAACTTTTACATGTACCACACGCATACAACACTTATGAACATGTGTATACACATGGGCACATGCAGATAGATATACCACCTACATGCACATATAATTCGCACAACCCAAACACATACACAGACATTATTCCTATGACCTCCAATGACAATTACCATCTCTAGGAAATACTATAGTCTTCCTTGATTTACAACACCAAAATTGAATTAAAATCGTATATGGTATTGACATTTCATTTTCATCAATTGACAAGCAAAAATGGGTTGAAAAGATGGCTCAATAGTTGTTAGAAGCACTTACTGTTCTTTTAGAGGATCTGACTTCAGTTCCCAGCAGCTCACAACTGCCTTTAACTCCAGCTCCAGCATGTCCTAGGGTGTCCTATATATATACCATCTTCTGACCCCGCCACTCCCCACCCCGAAGCACTGCACTCATGTGCACAAACTGTACACCCATTGAATAAAAATACCTTGAAAAGAAATGCAAAAATTAAGAGGTGCAATATAAAGGAGATAAACTGGGTTGTGCTTGGTGGGTGGGTGAAGGGAATCACTGCGAGGCAGGCAAAGCCTACTGGTCCTGAGGGAAAAGGAGGCAGAGACTGGGTCAGAAGGAAGCAGACATTTGCGGAGCTGCCATCCTCCCTGAGCACAGAAGGCCTGGGAGAGGGCTGCTGTTGAGGGAGGGCTGCTCACCCAGCTTATGTAGGAGCTCTTTGACTGACTCTCACTCCGCTTTTTAGGCTGTTAGGAGAGAAGACGGGGAATGTGGCTAGAGGAATAAACATCGCTACTGTCAACTGTAAGTGGCAAATGTTTCTCAGAAATTCCCTCAAAGCTTGAATGTATGTGTGTGTGTGTGTCCCCACACACATGCATGCATACACATTCATATGAGTGTGGGCACACACGTGTTGCAGTGTATGTAGTGGTCAGAGAACAACCTCAGATGTAAGTCCTTACATCACCCTTTCCTAGGCATCTCTTCTTTGGGTCATTGTTTGACACTGTGCACAGCAGAGACTAGCTGACCCATGATTCTCCACCTCCCATCTCCACCCGAGCACTGGTATTACAGACACAGTTCTGTGTCAGCTATTCATGAGTTCTTGGAATTTGAGCTCAGTTCCTCATGCTTGCAAGGCATTAAAGCATCGACTGAGCTGCCTCCCTAGGCCAAGGCCATAGTTTTTCAATATGTTTGCTCATATTTAGGTCTACACTGTAATGAATTCTAAAATAATATAATTATTTAAAAGTCTTAACTCTACAGACCATTTGTGGTCAGACGACAACAACAAAATAACCCAAAAACGGAATCTAAAAGAGTCTTTGTAATAGAGGAAGGGCAGGTAGAGAGGACACAGTGCAGCTCAGATACACACAGACCCTGGCCATGGGTCCTTTGCTCTTAGATTCTGGGGACTAGGTAAAGGGTAACAACACTGACCAGTTCTGTCTGGCTGCTGTGGGCTGTGGGAACCTGTGCAGGTGCATCAGCCTCCTCTGGGATCTGGGTGTTTTTAGAGGGCCCTTGTAGTAAGACTCGCAGCAGGTTAGAGAACAGAGTATCATATAGGAACCAGCTGGCTACAGGGCCAGTGATGGCTGTGGGGCCGGACAAACCAGCTTCAGTCAGGTAACCCTCAGGACACCTAGTGTGAAGTGGGAAGGTCAGGGGGTGGGGGTGGGTGGTGGTCTCTGCTGGTTCAGAAGGGGAAGGAGAAGGGCATTAAGACCCTGTGAGCGACCCTAGAGAAGTGGGAAGGCATCTCCTCCCTTTGAAGGAAGCATAGTGCTCCAAGCCTTCCCTAGGAGAAGTAAAAGAAACTTCTGTTCACCCCGAACAAGGAAGGAGCAATGGGTCAGACAAGGAGTCCAACAGGTCTAGCATGGTGACATGAATGAATTTATTAGGGTTGTTTACCAGAACCTGGGTAACTCACAGACAGCCTTGCCACAGCTGCTTTATAATCTTCTGCCTACCTAGGTTTTATTTTATATATGAACAATCCCAGGCCACAGTTTAGCAAACCCAGGCCAGAGCGCCACCTAGTGTTGAAGAGGCATGGGTGACTTCGAGCCAAGCTCAAGTTCCCTGGCTCTGTGTGCTCCAACCCTGCTCTTATCTGGGGCTCTGGTTTCAGCAAACACTGTGGTCATGGGAAAGACAGCATGCAGCCCTTGAGGAAGGACAGCCTGTTTGCACGTTGGCACAACAAGATGGAACTGCTCTGCTCAGGATTTGGAAGAATAATCCCACCACACAGCCCCTTTGCAGACTGGGGGAGATCACTCTAATCCTATTCCAGATTCATTTGCTGCTAGGGTCCCATGTGAACTTTCCCTTAAAGCCATTTCTTCTGATTTCAGATGAGACTGGAAAGTTGATAGCAGCAAAGTACTTTGACATGTATGAAGGTGGTAAGAAAAGTATTAACTGATTAAAATGAAAACTAAAACTATCTAAACCCCATTGGGAAACAGAAGCAGAGAGTTTTGGGGGGGGCTGTGTTTATTGTGTATAGGTTCTGTTGCAATTCTGAGCATCATGCTCAGACATCACCTTTGGGGACTGACTTCTTGTCTCTAATGGCAGAGGTGGTTGATGGGTACTTGCAGAATCTAGGGTTGGTGGAAGGTTTGGCTAACTAAAGCTCCAGGGTTTAATTTATTCTGGGCTTTCCACTGGCTAGCCTTGTTTCTATCTTTGGACTGATGTTTGCAATGTCTTGAGTACTTGCTGCAAGTTGTTGATGTCCCCCGGGGCTTCTCCTAGACAGCAGCATCCCATGGATCTCCTGACATCACTCCTGGGGAAGTAGCCAAGCATGGCTGAGCCCCTGAGACCAGTCTAGGGAGCAGGGGATTCAGGGTGGGTAGATAGCAGAGGGGGAAGGAAGCCCACAGATAGGATGAGGCCATATTTACTGAGGAGACTCTGAACTGCTGTCTGTTGTTGACCCTACAGATAACTCTGAGCCAATGGCCAAGTTCATTCAGAGCACCCCTTCAAAATCCCTGCTGTTCATGGTAACCCATGATGATGGGAGCTCCAGGTGAGTGTATGCCTTTATTCCCATGTGATAAGAGCAGTCATCCAGGAGAAGGGCAAAGTCCTCTGGGCCCTACAGAACCCAAGGAATAGGGGAAGAAATGGCCATGACAAATGTTAGAAACCACTCCTGCATCTGTACTAGAATATAATTCTATTCATACACACACACACACACACACACACACACACACACACACACACACACACACAGTTGTTCACTAGGAGTACTTATGGAAGTCATTGACTCTCCAGGTTCATCCCAATTGTTTAAAGAGTGCGCGGAGATGTAGAGCTCCTTGCTTAGGAAGTGAGCTGATTTATTGGAAGTGAGCTTCTCTCACCTGACCTTTTTGGAGCATGGAAAAGGAACTTTTGATACTTGTTTCTATCTTTCAGCTACTTGTTCTAGTCTTACTATGTAGAAGCAGAAGGACCACCGGGATGGGGGTGATGCTGGCTGAGTGGGAGGGTATGACAGAATAGTGAAACATTGCCACCTTTCACAACTGTGAGGTCACTGGGCTCTACATGAAGTGCAAAAGGCTCCCAGATGTGGCCAGATGTCCACTAATGGAATCACGTGGTCCACCAGCACATTCTGTCCTAGAGGTGAAAACCTGGTCTGTAGGGAGTCAGGACAGTTTCAGTTCCATTCAGGACAAGCAATGGGACACAGCCAGCCAGCCAGATACACACACGCTTTCTCTCTCTCTCTCCCTCTCCCCCTCTCTCTTCCTCTCTCTCACACACACATTCACACACACTCACACATGCATACACTCTTACACAACACTTGTACACACTCTTACACTCACACACCCCTTCCACAAGAGGCCTTCTCACGCTTTCTTTTTTGCCCCAGACTGCAGGCCCAAGCGAAGGATATTATAGAAGCTCTTGGAAGCAAAGAAATCAAGAACATGAAGTTCAGGTCAAGCTGGGTGTTTGTTGCAGCAAAGGGCTTTGAGCTCCCTTCAGAAATTGAGAGAGAAAAAGTGAGTGGCTTCCCCCATTTCTTCTCAGACAGGGCTGTGGTGTGCGAAGGCATCCCATCGGTGGTCACACACGCAGAGCACTGGGTTAGTTCCATCCCAGACTCCTCATTGGTTCCAGGTGGTGGTGACTGCTCTGTTTGGGTAGGAGGCTGGCCTTCTTTAGTCCCTCCTGTGGGGATGGCAGTCACACCACGGATGGTGGCCTGAGGTGCTTATATATGAACCACTTCCAATAGGGTAGACGTCAAATATGCACCGGACAGAAAGACTTTGGATGAGGGAGTCACCTGTGACTTGATGCGTCCGTTTATCAAAGAAAAGAGCAAAGGAGGGAAGTGATAGGAGTCCTGACTTGCCACCTTGTCTCCCGTAAACATCCCAGCTGATGAGTAGTGCTACGTAGCTGTTTGAGGTCGATGCCTCTGCCGACCCGATCCTTTTCAATAGACATAAGGGGCCCTGAAGAGAAGGAGATAGATTGAACCACAAAGGCCCACAGCTCTGGTAAGGCTCTTTCCACTTAGCTAGGATTCTAAGAGGGCAGCGCTCCATTCATCTCCAGGAGCATACCAGGTCATATCTGATTCAGCTTGAGGCTTTGCTCCCACTGCCTGAAGTCATGGTTTAAAGAAAACAGTGGAAACCAGGAGCGGTTGGGCCTCCTCTGTTGGCATGATCTCTCTTGGAAGGAGGGGATGACACCCAAGCCACTGTTACTAGCTCCAGAGACCCTGGGCCTTCTGGGATGTCTCCTGCTCTGACCATGTCATGGCCAGTCAAAGTGTATTTTCACTGTGACTCCGTTAGCCTGCACACAGCAAGCCAGCCCGGCAGAAAAGGCACTTTTTAACCTTCTGTGTCTGAATACCTGTAGGCAATGGAGGCCTCATGGTCATCTTCAAAGAGAGAAGGCTCGGCCTGTCAGCTCCCTAGACCCACTGGGGTTGAGGGGAGACAGGTATGGGATGTGGGGCAGGGTCTCAAGGCTAGGTTTGTTGGGGACATGTGGTTTTGAACAGGCTGCAGTTTTCCTGTTGGTCCATCCTTTGATACCAGCAGCTGGATGGTGTGGAGGCACCCTGCTTGCCTTGGATTCTGGGGCTCGCTCTGAGAGTGAACTCAGGATTCCCTTCACCTCAATGACCTATAGCACAGACAGACATCTCCTCAGGCTGTGTGGCCTTGGGCAAGCTACTTCACCTCTCTGTGCCTCAGATCCTCACCAGTAGAAAAGAGATAAAGACACACCAAAGCAGGCTCCAGGAAGAAGGCTTAGGTTTCCTAATTTCAAAACATACTCCAAAGCTGCAGTCATCAGAACAGCATGGCATTCTGTGAGGACAGATGTAGACTGGGTAAGTAGAGCTAGGGTTCCAGAGATTGCAAGGGTTCTCTCTTACTTGACCAGATGATTTCACCTAGTGAGCCAAGACCGTTTCCTCAGGGATGAATAGTTTCTTCAATAAAATGTACAGGGAGAATCAAACAGCACATAGGGAAAAAATGGATTTGGATCCCATCCACAGCTGTATGCAACAATGCAGAACTGACCAAACACCTACACATTGCAGAGATAAAACTGTCGAGCTCTCTCAGCAGGACAGCAAAACAGGCAGAAGTGTGTGAGTCCTCATTCTGGAGATGACAATGCTTGATTGATTGTAGTGACGGTTGCACACACTGGAAATCTGCTAAAAAAAACAGTTGAGTTGCTGAAACTCAACTTCAGCGGGTGGGTTTCATGGTATGTGAATGACATCTCAGTGATGATGTGGTGTGAGAAAAGGCAGTAGGCTGTAACAGAATTGAAAATATGGACTCATAATGCCCACTCCAATGCCAACACATACTTGCTGAGTAACGAGCACTAACGCACTCTGAAAACTGTGTGTGTGGGGTCTGGACTCTGTGGTCCTGTTCCCACAGGTGACAACTATACTGATGTGCTGTCCACACAGCAACACTCAACAGATGCACGTTTGAGTGGGTCGATGTTAAATAGAATCCCGAGCCCAGTTCCTATTTAACTAGCTGCTTCTCCCAGGCTCTTAGCCACTCCACCAAGCGCGCTGTAGGCTGCAGAAAGAGCCTAATCCTTTGGGAAAGTTCTAGAGCTGCACTTAAACACTACTGAAAGACACACTGAGGCTGGGGTGTGGTAGTTCAGACCTGTAATCTCAGTACTTGGAAGGTTGAGGCAGGAGGATCACTGTGAGTTCCAGGCTAGCCTGGACTACAGAATAAGACCCTCATTCAACCAAAGAAACTGAAGAAAGGAAAGGAAGGAAGGGGAGAGAAAGGGATGGAAGGAAGGAAGCCAGGAAGTAAGTGAAGAAGAAATGGCAGAAAGAATGGATGAAAGAAGGAAGGAGCAGACAAATTCTAAACTCAACCTGGGTTGGGGAAAATACCACTATGAGACTTGTACTCACAACAGAAATAGATATAATAGTTTCTGATTAGCTTAGTGGATAAATGACATTCTTTTCTTCCCCTCACATAGATCAACCACTCGGATCAATCCAAGAACAGATACTCGGGCTGGCCTGCAGAGATCCAGATTGAAGGATGCATACCCAAAGGGCTGAGATAGCAGTGTCTGGGCCTCAATAAATGTGTTTTGTACAAATACATGCAGCTGGGATGTCCCAGGAGTCTGATTTTTTGAAGTCCAGATTTGAGGGGAAGTGTTCGTGGGGATTTGAAGTTCGTTGTAAACCAAGAAGACATGGTTAGTTAGTGATTCTTAGTGGCTGATGCTATCTATCATTTTGCTACTTGTACAATGGAGGTATTCTCAAGCCAGGAAAGCAGCAGAAGGGAATCATTATGGGGAAAACTGGATGGAGGGGGGAATGAAGCAAAACTGCTTGTTGGCTACTGAGCAGTGTTACACTCATGTCTGAGTCGGGCCGCTGTGTGGTTGGTCCCCACAGCTCTTCAGAGTGCCTTTTGTCCATTGTCACCCTGAACACCCTTGTTCCCAACATTTATCTCCTGGGAATGAATGAGGCCTTATCCATCATCCCTGGTCACCTCAAATTTGGCTCTTAAACTTCCCCATAGGGTATGGATTTATTTGCTATCAGCTCTGCCTCTGTGCAAGGCAGTGGTTGGCAAGGAGGGAGGCTGTCACTGTGCTTTGGCTGTGAATCTGCTCAACAGCCATATAGCGGAGACTCTGAGAGACCCCTTTCTAGGATATAGTCAGCCGGACAGGTGTGGACAGGTTAAGAATGAAGTGACTAGGATTAGGAACTAACTAGAATCTGCACAGAGCTCTTTTCTGTACCTAGCCACCAGAGAAGCCACTAGCCTGCATGCCAATGTGACTGATTCTCAGCTCCAAGCAAGGGAGTCATCAGCAGAATGGTTTCAAAATCAGGCAGCCAGATCTGGGAAAACATCTAGTGGATGAAAATGCTTGCTGCTCAGATGTGAGAACTGAATTGGAACACAAACTGCCATGTAAAAAGCTTTGCATGGTGGCACACACCTGCAAAACCCACACAGGAGGGAGGGATGGGAATATCCCAGGGATTCACAAGCCAGCAAGTCTAGAAGCAAGCTTTAGCCTCAGCAAGAAACCGTGTCCTTATATGGAGCTTGGCAGATGGCTGAGTTAGGGAAACGCTTCCTATATGAGCACAAGAACCTGTCTGCGTTCAGATCCCCAGGACCATGTAAAGGTCAGTTATGGTGGCATGCACCTGTAATCCCAGTGCTGGTGGGCACACAGAGGCTCATGGCCTCCCGAACCAGGGAGTTTTAGGCCAGTGTGAGGTACTTTCTCAGAAAAAAAGGTAGAGAGTTAAAGAGAAAAAACACCCTACTTCAACTTCTGACCTCCACAATTCACATAGAGATGGATATACATATATACACAAAGGTATAACTACAAATGAATAAATTGGGTTAGGAGTGTTGGAAGAAGCTATCTGACTTTGACCTCTGACCTCACCACAGTATTCAATACATAATCTCTGGCTTGCTCACGTGTGTGTGTGTGTGTGCGCGCGCGTGCACACACACACACACACACACACACACACACACACACAAGCAATGAATGTAATTGAGAACACCTGCTACCCTGAAAACCCACATCCTTGGTGTATCAATCCATCCCAGTCTCTTGCCATACAGGTGCATTGATTTCTCCCTGGGATGCATGGGACACCAGCATCCAGTTGGCTGGACCCTTCCTATCCAATGCAGAAACTGGAGAAAGCAGAAATTCAGAAGCTTTCTGCCCCACCCTGCTCCTTCCTGGACATGCCCCCTCCCCCAGATATATTAGGTCAGCTCCCCAGAGCATACACCAGCTGTAAGGACACAGTAAGCCACATGGTCGTGGCAGGGAGATGAGGTCAGCAGAGGCTGACCACTGGGCATCAAGCAGACCTCTGTCCCAGGAAGAAGTACAAGGGTCTCAGAGCACAGGTTCCTCAGGAAGTCCAGTCTCTGCAGTGACCCTTGCAGATCACAGACAGGATCCTGACCCAGGCTTGAATGTAGGCACAATTGCTTTCCCACGAATTCCTATGATGCCCAGAGCCTCAGAATATGGTATTCTGGCAAGTAGGACTACCACAGACATAACTAGTTAGGACTTGGATCTGCTGGAGTATGGCCAGTCCTTTCTTCATGATTGCTAGCCTTATAAGCAGGAACATTTTGGGCATAAACATGTATGTCGAGCACCATGTGAAGACAGGCAGATGTCCAGAGATGCTTCTACAAGCAGGGGATGCCTATGCATGCCAGTGACTGACATTAGATGGGAAGCCCTGGGCCTGATTCTAACCTTGGGATCTCAGTGAGAGCACAGATCTACTGCTTTCAGCCTTGGGCCTGATGCTTCTTCCTGTTAGATCACCCATGTCTTGGGCTCAGACAAGCATATTTATGTCTAAGAATAATTGGACAGACACCTTTGGGCTTGAAACTTCTTGGTACCTGTATTAGTGGCTTGTCTCATTGTTGTGACAAAATAACTAACGAAAGCAACGTAAGAGTTTGGATTTCAGGTTTAGGAATACAGTTGACCACAGAAAGGAAGTCGGGGCAGTTGGAGATTGAGGCGGCTAGCCATATTGCATCCATATTCTAGGTGTGTCTTCCCTCCTCAGTTTACTTACTCTAGACACTTCCTCACAGGCATGTCTGGAGGCTTGTCTTCTAGGTGGTTACCAGTCTAACCAAGCTGACAATCTTTGTTATTACATACCCATATACCTTCAGGGATAGAAAGGAGAGAATGCATTTCTGTTCTGTCTCCTGATACGGCATTTGTAAGGAGACAGGCTCTGGGAACCCAGCCCTTTATCCCACTCCATGACAGCTCTCTCTACCTGGCCCTCTGTTTGCCCCCTTTAGACCTTGTTGCATGGGAGGAAACTCAACAAGCATTGACTGCAGCAGCTTCACTCATGTTAGATCAAGTAGGTGCCTCTGCATCTGTGATGAATGTCACTGCTGTGTTGTGATGAATGCCCATGACCCAGCACTGAGAAGGGTCTTGTGACTTTTTAGGGCTTGGAGCACCTGCTCTTACAACATTGTTTCTGCTGCTCACCTGGTGAGCGTGGAACCCTCCAGAGGATAAAGAACCGGGCCATACCTTTGGGTGTAACCTTGGCCTTACCTAGAGAATTCCAGCCCAAGGGTTATTCTCAGCTGTGGGCCCCAGCCATGAGCGTCTGATTGTCCTAAGCTCTGGGTCAATTCTGAGACTCAAGACCAGACAGAGACAGTCATATAGCCCATACTGGTATGGTTACCACAAAGCTGCTGAGTGAATTCTGTAACATTCCTGAAAAAGGCACAGTAATGGGGACAGGAGAGAACTCAGGGGTCACCAAAGGTAGGGGCAGGGAGACACAGCCAAAACCTGGCGGGTTTGGGTCTATGATGATGTTCTGAGTAACATTGCCATGGTGGGCCTTGTCCTAGGGCTTGGGGGTAGTGATGGTCCACAGAGTGACACGATAATTGTGGTCCTTGTCACTGGGTTGCGATGTAGAAATGTTGACTGTGACCACCGGGTGACAGAGTGCCATTGTAGGTTCATCTACTCTGCTGAAGACATTGGCAATGGGAAGCTATGCACTTGGATGAAGAGGGGGCATATACAATTCTGTACCTTCTGCTATAGTTTGCCATGAGCCTGAAAACAATTTAAAAATAGTGTTTATAGCCGGACATTGAAACGCACACTGTTATTCTAGCACTTGGGAAACGGAGGCAAGAGGATTATTAACTTCAAGGCCAGTCCGGTATACACAAGGAGACTTCTGTCTCAAAACAGAATTTAAAAAAAAATGTTTACAAAAGTGTAAAACGCTGCTACAGAGAGTAATGACAAATAACAGGGGAAGCCAGGAAGGGCCCAGCAGGTGGGCAGTGCCCTGAGCATCTGATCACTCAGCACATTGGGATGGACCTCCAGAGGCTGCTGTTAGAGCCCTCCCGGGTGTTCATCCCAGCACAGGCTGACTGATGACTCAGCTTTGTTGCTGCAGCCGGAACCTTGGGGTTCATCCTTCTTACTGTTTGTTGGTGATGGAGTACACAATCCGGACAGAGGCAAAGCAGAGGGTGGAAAGCATGGCCTGGTCCCATCCTCCAAGTGCTCAGGAGGACACCTGAAATATAGTAGATGAATCAGACAAGTTTCTCCAATAGCCTGACATCTGCCTGGTTGGCTTGCCTGGTGGTAAGCCTCCAGTGCATGGTGCAAGGCTCTGGCTGCCAGCCAGCCCTTCATTCAATGGCCGGGGACAGAGTGGCCCTTGTTCTGTGTCTTGCTACATAGTCTGTCATTGTTTATTGGCAAAGACCCTGGAGCTGGATAGGGAGTGTAATACTCTGAAGCCTGGTCCCTGTATTGTAACGTCCATAGTTCAGTGACACGGGCACAGTGACATCCTGGCCCAAACTCCTTGGTGAAAATACTCCCACTGTGGCCAATTCTTGCAGGAGCCAGGTGGCACTGAAGACTCCCTGTGCTCTTGGGGCTGGGTCCATTTTATAACGCATTGAGCAGGAAGAGAGACAATATAGCTTTAACGTTTGCTTGCTCATCATGTTAGGGTTCTGGCTACAGGGGTCCACACAAAAGGAAATTTTTAAATGTCCCCTGGTACTGAGGGCCCCCTCACCTAAAATAAGATTTGGAGTTGAATTCTGCTATAATGAGATGGAAACTCCTGGGGACCCTTGTTTTTTTGAGTCACATGTCTCCTGGGGACACAGTGATCAGCATATTTATCTACTGTCTAAGAATTTCATATATGGACATGTTGTGTTCTGACTAAATCCACCTCATCCCCTCCCCTCCAATCCTTCCCCTAATCCTGCCACCAATTTTTTATCTCAACTTCATTTTTTAAAAGCCCAACGAGAAACTTGTTCTCTCTAAATGTTTTTTTTTCTTTCAGTTTTGAATGGCAGTAATGTATACATGTATATATCTATGGATTAGTTTGAAGTTTTGCTTTATAAACACTGGCCTTAAGGACATAGAATTGATAGTTTATTATAAATAAAAGGATGTTGTAAGATAGCATAAGACTACAGTTGTATTTTATAAAATAATGTAGACTTTCTAACCTGCTTTTTTGTTGTTT